TTTTTTTTTTTGCATATTTTTCACACTTACAAATGTTAATATTATACAAAGATAACCAGACCAAATGAATCATATCTAACTGATGATTTCATTTTTCAAGATTAAACAACGTTATCCTAACCCACGTGGCCCTGTGTGAAGAAGTAGTCCCCCCTACACCTGATAACCGGTTGTGCCACCCTTGGCAACAAGAACTGCAATCTTGTGTTTGTAGTTACGGGCAAAACCTTCACGTCACTAAGGAGAAATTAGAAATTAAATTGAACAGCCTTCGAGTCCAAAGCTTGATAAGCTTTTCTGAGCCGTTCAGAGGTGGACTTGCTGGTGTGTTTCAGATCATTGTCCTAGTGCAAGTCTGCTTGAGCTTTAGGGCACAAACTGATGGTTGGACATTCTCTTTGAGGATTTTCCAGTAGAGGGCAGCATTTGTGGTTCCATCATTTACAAGAAGTCATTCAGGTCCTGAGGCGGCAGAGCAGCCCCCAACCATCACACTACCACCACCATGTCTGACTGTTGGTGCGATGTTCTTTGTATGAAACACTGCATTAGCATTATACCAGATGTAATGAGACCCAACGCTTCTAAAAAGTTCAGCTTTTGTCTTGTCAGTACATCAAGATTTATTTATTTTTTGGTAAATATGAGACGAGCCTTTTGTGTTATCTTTGGTCAGCAGTGATTTCTGCTTTGAAACTCTTCCATGGATGCCATTTTTGCCCAGTCTCATTCTTATTGTTGTATCATGAACTCTGACCTGTAGGCAAGTGAGGCCTTCAGATGTTGTTCTGGGTTCTTTTGTGACCTCCTTGGTTTGGTGACCTTTTCCAAAATGATAGATGTCAGCATCCGTTTGTGCCCTGAAGACAAAATGTAGGCCTTGATCAGGCTCGAAAACGCTATAATGGGGCTGAATTGAAACAATTCTGCAAAGGAGAGTTGGCCAAAATTCCTCCAGAGATGTGAAAGACTCATTATCAGTTATTGCAAACTCTTGTTTCCAGTTCTAGGTTCAGGGACAATTGCTTTTTCACACAGGATCAGGTAGGTTTGGATATCTTTTTTCCTTTAATAAATAAAACCGTCAGTTAAAACTGTATATTCTATTGTAATATAAAATTAAGTGCTCAAAAATTAAATATATTAGGAAGGGGGACAAATAGTTTTTCACAGCACAGTACAAGAAAATGCAGAAATGTGAAGGGGATCGTTTCAGCATACATGCTGGTTTTATGGTATGGGTAACAGCCCGTCCATGGAGGAGGAAGAAAAGTGACGATGCAGTTTAGAAAGCCGTTCTTCTCACATTTTATTGCAACAGAGTGCAACAGATGTTGCACTTAGCAAACCAAGGTTTTGTTTCCACAATGGCATTGATGATCTACATGTTTTTATATTAATACTAACTTTTAATACATAGCACTTTAAAAGAAACAAGATCCAGACACTTCAGATTCAAAAAGGAAGAATTTGGACATTTGGGCCAAAAACAATGCAAGATAAAAAAGATAAGATAGAAGAATAGAGCAGAAAAATACAAATAATTAATAATAAATACTAACATAAGATAAAGAAGCAACAAATACTTATCACAGAAACAATATGCAAGAAACATAAACCTGGATTTCTCTGTAAAACATTGTGTAGAGTTTTAGTTTGTTCTCTTTAGTGTATTGTCCTGTGTTGTGTGACCACTGAAGGACATTTTTCTCCACATTACATGCAAATGTAAATACACTGTTTTGCTTCACAAAGCAGAATGTAAAACCTTCAGCTCTTAGTGTAACCACCATCTGGAGAGCATTGACCTTGGTAGCAGTGAGCTTTCCACAGAAAATAATAGTGTGGTACAGTCCGTGTCACTTTTTAAACTCTAGAAGTGGATGTTCAGTGTCAGGGGCTTAAAAAAAAAGTCCAAAGAAACAAAGCAAAACTGAAAACGCTGCTAATACTCCAACTCGTCGTTTAGCAGATGATTACATTTAGAGAAATACTTAAAATGAGCAAACATTACCTTTTTTCTAAAATTTTAAAATTAACGACAGACTAATGGATCAGAAGGTTAAATTAAGCTAATAATTTTTAATGATTTATGCACAAACGAACGTTTTTGACGCTATTTAGAGAGCAAATAAAAACAAGCAGACACTTTTTAAGTCACAACAGTGTCCCTGCATCATCAGGTTAACAGTTTGAACTTTTGCTGTATTTCAGTTAGAGTGTCTTTTAAATCTGCATCACGGATTTGTGTCATGAAATTACCTCTGCATCTTCAACGAAAGTGTTATTAGGCTTTTACTGACAGAACAGCTTTTATGT